CACACTACCCTTACCAGAGAATTGCTCCCCAAAGCAGTCAAGAATCTCAGCAGCCTCTATTTCCCAAACCCATCTACTCCTACAGGTAACAAAGTGTGGGTTTTTTTTTTTTTTACATGTTATGTTACAGGAAATACACTGTTTACCCATGGCATATTTCCAGCATAATTTGCAATAACACGCTCACTCTTACTTGTCTTGTTCCCAGTGTGCTCTGTCCTGTTTGTATGAATCACAAGTTGCTCCAGACTCTGGGGCCGAGGCAAAGGGAAATTAAATGCTGAAAAACATATGCATATTCCCCAATCACTCCCACAAAAAAAATATGCATATTTTTAACACAAAAGTCTTAGGTGTTGCACATTTTATCAGCACAAAAATATTCACGTTTAGTAATATTTTCCAAGACCTAGATTAAAACTGATTCATTTTCCAATTATTAATGCCAGAAAACATGTGGAAAATATCAGCTGCACTAGTTGCCACATAGGTCTAGCTCTCTCACTGGAAGCTTAGCAAAGTAAATTAGCAATCAAGTTTTGTTATATCTTATGTCATTATCAGTGTGATATTCTTTGTAATCTCTATCAGTTTAAGCACTTATACACAACCTTTGAAAAATGTACCATGGCAGGATTTGAAATCTGTGGTTTTGAGTTTAAAATAAATAAAAAAAATCAAGCCAGACTATATTCACTGTAACTACCCCTAAAAGTTGTGCACCACAAGGATATTAATTTTTAGAAACTGAATAAGTTTTAAGCAGGGGTAATGGGTGCAAGTTGAAACCCAGGCAATTCCATCTCCATGTGAGGAGAAACTTCTTCACTGTGAGGGTGCCAGAGCCCTGGCACAGGCTGCCCAGGGAGGTTGTGAAGTCTCCTTCTCTGGAGATCTTCCAAACCCGTCTGGATGCCACTCTCTGCCACCTGCTCTGGGTGTCCCTGCTTGAGCAGGAAGGTTGGACTAGATCTCTAGAAGTCCTTTCCAACCTCAACCATTCTGTGATTCTGTGCTCATCACTATTCATGCTACAAGAGTAAAATCCAGAGTAACTACATGCATTGTAAAAAATGTTGTATTTTTCCTGTTTTCCTGCTTCTGAGAGGTTAAGGAGAATAAGCTGAAATATATATATTTTTACTGTCCCTGTAGCATTCTGATCTTCATGGCACTCAAAAACAGCAAGACAGGAAGTTTGCCAGTCAGTGAAATTTACAATTTCATGACAGAACACTTTCCTTACTTTAAGGTGAGTTGTGCACCTACAGGGGAAGAAACAAAAAGTCTCTATGCTTCCCATGGCGGGGGGGATTCAATCTATGAAAATGTATAACCTTTTTTAACAGATTATCATCAATTATACATCATACACCTCTATGTTCACGGATTGGCATGTTTTATCCTAGTCCAATTTACAGAAAGGGTAGTGGATTTTGTTTTTAAACACATGAATTCCTCACTCTCAGATCCAGGCAGAACTGGTCTCATGGGTTCCTCTGCCATGAACAACACTTTCAAACCCACATGGAAGTTTCAAGGTTCTCTGCTCTGTTCTGAAGCTGGAATATCAGTCTTAAGCAACTTCATCACTTGCATGCACTGTACAAAGAAAGACATACTCTGTGATAAATGGTACTAAGCTCATAATTACACAGTAATGTTGGTGAAGGTAAGGGTGTATGGTTTACAGCAGATCTTACTGACATTTAAATACATGCTACAAGAGCAAATGGTTTCTTGCATTCCAAATGCAAGTGGAGAGATTAGTCAGCATACAATCCAAGAGCAAAGGGATTACAGTTTGATTTTAGGAAGAGCTATAATTCAATTGTAGCTTGCTGCTCAACATAAAGCTTCATTCCTGCTGATTCCTCCAAAACCTCAGTAAGATTAAATGACCTACAATTGTGAACAAACCCCAAAACTGAAAATAAAGCAACATGAATCCATCCTATTCCCTACCACAAGTAAACATGCAGCAATTCAAATAGACTCAAAGCAGCTACTAAAAGCTAAATCAAATATTTTTTACAGTCTAAGAATAAACATTCTGATACAGTTTTGCATGTTATTGGGATACTAACTGAAGATGCCTGCAAAACAAGTAAAATTGATCATGTCAGTAGTCAGAATGAATAAAGATTATCGCAATGGAAGAAATGTGAGGATTCATTAAAATGGGGGACAAAAGGGCACATAATAGTTTTTTCTCATTTTCAAAGCAAGCACAGATTATAGGGCTTGTATTTCCTCTCTGATGAAATATTAACTGTCCTTTCCATGCATATACCACTAGATACATAAAATATTTTAATAAAGCAAAGGAAAACAGTTTGAGAGGTATGAAAAAAATTCAGCCACAACATCTTGAAATTGATATTTTGCAGAACTATTCTTTGCATAATGCATAGATTATGTAATCTACCAAGGAACACATTCCTAACTGATTACTATTTACTAGAAAAATAGTGCAATAAACTTCAAGCAGAAAGGTAGTAGTAGTAGTTCAAGCAGAAAGGTAGTAGTAGTAGTTATTTTTACAGGAATAACTGCCCACATTATTCCACCAGACCCCTCTAAAATTACTTTCTTCTATGTCTTACAACACAGCTGATTTAGCAGCTTACAAACCAAACAATGCTACTGTCAACATGCACAGAATTCTTAAGATAGCTCTGCCAGGTCTTGCCATTACAAGTATTTAACACAATGTTCAGCAAATATGCATCCTTCCCTCAACTCTCCATGCACAGATGTTTTAATAGGTATGTCTTCTTATGCTTCTGTGCATACACACATATGCACATTAGGCATAAAAGAGTTCCTTAAAGCTGTAGTAAAAATGTACTCAATATAATTTTCCTCCTTCCTTGTCAAAAGATTTTTGCAGATCCTCATATTTTTCTTAAAGAATTTAAATTTAAAGATGAGAGGTTATTGACTTCATATGTATTAAAGGCAAAGAACAATTGCAGAGGGTACTTTGCAGAACACTACAAAAATACAACTCTCAAAATGTTTATTTGGCTTACTTATATACAAAAGAAATTGAATAGCTACATCCCAAACTTGCTTAAAATGAGCACAGACAAACAAACAATCAAATACAATGTTTGTGAGGACCAGGCCCTATCAATGGTCATCAGAACACCCCACAGAATCATCACTGGACAAAATTAGTTTCATCTAAACTCCCTTCTGCTGGAGAATAAAATAATAATAAAAAATCAGCAAAGACCATTTTGGTGCTACTACCAGAACTCACTAAACAGCAGGATACAACAGGAGGAAAGAAAGCAGTTTAAATTGGAAAGAATCAGAGCACAAGCATACATAGAATCTTGCTGGGAGAAATTAGATGATACAAGCCTAGTCAAATTAACTTGCATTCGCTGCCGCAGCAAATTTAGTTTCTATGATGCAACAACCTCATTTCTAGTTGAAACAGAGCAATCCAACTCCTACGTCCTAAAAAAAACATCTACGCAGCTAAAGTTGAATTACTCTTTGATGTACCTCTCCCTTCTCTTGAGAGCTAGATTTAAAGAGAACCCTTGTTTTGCAAGATCACTGAACTCTTTAAACTTCAAGAGGCGGTTAGGATCAATGAGTCTGTACAATAATATTTTTTGTTGTCATCCTTTTTTTTCTTTGTAGTGATTAGTGTGTCTAACAGAAAGCTTTCATCTTGTTAATTGGAGTTATTGCCAGTGGTCCAAGAGGTTAGAAAGGTCTGTGGTCTGATGGAACCTATGGTAGCAAGTACTTTGGCACTGTCAGTTCCACACAAACTTTTCACATTACTCCGAATGCAACAGTAGCAGCAAAGAGCCACAGCAGTGAGATTCCAACTGTACGAGAACAGCTCGAGTGGACAGAGCTCTATTCCTTAACAGAGAATAAATAAAAGAACACCAGTGTCGTACTTACGACACAAACACATTGCTGGACTGTTCTGACAGGGCTCCACTAGGTAAACAACTATTTTTCCTCAGCTCAGCAATACCAAGTTTGATGTAAGAACCTGTTCCGCTCTTGGCGCAAAGTTTCCTGAATAAATCTATGCACTTTCTGCTTTAAGGTTTCTAAAACCATCTTACAGCTTACACCCCCACACATTCTGTAAACCTCTGAGAAACACATGCCACTCCCATCTTCTCTGGTGCTTGGCAGAAACATTAATTAACCTGTCTAGATAGACAGAGGTATATGTAGGCTCATGCACCGGGTGAGAAATATGAATATTCTTTCAGGTTAGCTCATCCAGCAGCCAAGTCTGTATTTAACATAAGAAAAACAGCTAACAGTTTTATTTATTTTTGGAACTGACAGAAAGCGATTTACAAGCAGAAAAGCTGATTCACTACCTTTCTTATTAACCTAATGGCAGAAAAGAAGGGTTTTTTGGGTATTATTTTTAAACTTGAATGTTGCCTCACCTATATGATTGACTGGAGGGGAAAAAAAAGAAAAAAGGAAATGCTGACATCAGGTGGACCAAAAGGGTAAAACAGTGCTATTAAGGAAAAAAGAAAAGACTTTCTTTTTAATATTATGCATTTAACTTCCACAGCTAATTAATATTTTAAATGAAAAATGTATGCATTGAAATTGACACTTAGATTCTTCAACTGGAATGTTAACTCCTCATCCCACAGCAGAGTCTCTCAAAAAGCTAAGTAGGAACAGATTTCAGAACACTGGTCAAAGTAGAATTTCTTTCAAAGTAATTCAAGTATTTATGCTGTATCACATGAAAGCAAAAATGGACACAAGCTTCACAACTTAAAAAGTATTTATATCAACCACAGAGTTTTCACATGAAAACTATTTTACATTCATGAATATGAATCATCAGTGGCACGCTGGCAACTCTACACACCTTTCAGGGAGTTGTTTAATTTCTTTTAATTCTTATGACACACAAATGGGCATTTTTTGGAAACAAGAAAAAGCATCCAAAATTGATTAAAAAGCATCATACATACTAGTACCGAAGATTATTCTTTGTAGTCTGATGAGCTCTAATATTTTTCCTCACCTGACGTATCTTTTCATCTCTGCAAATGCAGACATTTTGGTAAGAATATCATTTGACTGACTCCAGTAAAGTTACATTTTTTTCTCCCCCTAATTGATCTCATAATGGCAGAGGAAAAAAAAGAACAACTGTAAAGAGGAGTTTCATCTCATGCTGGGGTTCACAGGCTGATGCCTGCTATGATCACATAACAGCAACTCATCTTCCCCTCTCCCTTTTCTTTATGATTACATGGAATTGGAAAGGAATCAAAGGAGCATTTACTCAGCAAATAGCATTGCACAGTGCCCACCAAAAGAAGAAAGGAGTGACACACAAATCTACTGTAGGGAACTCTTGATACCAATGACACTAATTTAGAAAGCCTAAATACAAAGGGCAGTATCTTCTGGCTGCATGACCAAGTATGCAGAAATGAGGGAAATAAAATAACTACTAAATCTATGTGGAATAAAAGGATACAAAGCCACTTTCTCAAGATCAGTATTTCAGACCAACACACTTACATTTCCCATTAATATACGAGAACAACAATCCTGCTGGGTACTTCTTTCTGTATCCTTTCAGCAATACTCATTTTTATAATTCTTTCACAGCAAATCAAACTAAAAAATCAGTTAGTAATTCAGTTGACAAAAGTGGCCAGGCTCAAGCACTAAAGTCAGAAGAAATGCCTCCACTTCTCAAACTTTATCCTTACAGAAACTAATGAAAACAAATATTTGAATATGCAAATAGTGAAGACAAAATTCCCATTTTGCAGAAATAAATTGCTACACTTACATAGTAATGAGATGTTTTTGACACTAGATTTTCTTCTCTTTCCACTCTTGTAGTTTTATGCAAAACTATCCTCAAGGCAAGGAGGGAATTTTGTTTACCTCATTAGTCAGAGATTGCCTAAATAAAAATGGAGGAATCATTTTAATGACGCTTATATGCCTTGCTCAGTCTAAAGAACCCTTGAGCTTCCACTACTGAGCTAAAAATAAATCCAAAACAAAAAGATGACCTGATCAGATCTAGAATCAGTATCTGATGTGAGGGACTTGTGATTAAACTATTTGGTTATATAATTGGCTCTCATATAAGGTTACACCTACAGTATCAACCTAAAATTCTTTTGAAGTCAACCTGGACACTTAATGCGAGTCCAAGGAGCATTCAATTACATGTTTGATTTTTTTCTACATGCTCCAAAGCAGTTTAAGATAGATTCCCTTTTAGTTCACAGTCCCCACATACAGTTCTTTAAAACTCAATTCTTGCAATTGCAAATTCCCTTTTAAAAATCCATAGCCCTTCTCTAGCAAGACCAATCTTCTTGCTTAGATCAGTTATTTTATCTGATTCTTCCCTTCCTACACAACATGACTAACATTTTTATGAGCTCGTTATAAGATAAAGATTCATACTGTACAGAGTATTATCTAAATAACATTTCTTATAGTCTCACCAGTCAAAATGGATGTATATATTTGGTCACTTCCTTCCTTCAAGTTTGATTCTTAGAGTGTATTTATTTTTCCAGACAGCTCCTGATGGCTGGAAGAATTCTGTACGCCACAACTTATCTTTGAACAAATGCTTTGAGAAAGTTGAAAACAAGTCAGGCAATTCTTCTCGGAAAGGCTGCCTGTGGGCTCTGAATCCAGCCAAAATCGATAAGATGCAGGAAGAGCTTCAGAAATGGAAGAGGAAAGATCCAGTTGCTGTAAGGAAGAGTATGGCAAAGCCAGGTCAGTAACATGTTAGTGTATTAGTTCTCCAACAGGGGCCTTAAAAACATTTCTTGCATTATGCACCAAATAGCGTAAGAGAATTTATACATGATGTAGGGTAATGACAGAGATGTTCTCCCGGATATGCCGACAAAATGAAAGAGCAGAATTAAATATGACCCGATTTTGCTGGAGTGCTTCTAAACAGCCACAATGCCATAGCTTGTTCTAAAGCTTAAAGCAGCACTACTTTATCACTTCATCAAGAAAACATTTTCTCTTTATACCTCATTAAAGCAACACTGAAATAAATACTAAGGAATAAATTTTGAAATTAACTAATGAGAAATCATATGCTCCTGTTTACTGATTGGAGAGTTATTAAATACTCACTTGGCACTAATAATCAAAAAATCCACTTCAGGCTTTTGGACTACTTATCCAAGTGATTAGAATGAGTGGAATGGGAAATAAAAATGCATTTTCCAAACAGCACTAAAATTCTAGCTGTGACCTGACTACAAAGGTTCCATTAGAAATAAGTTATAGAGTCTTTTCTTCTTTTGTAGAAGAACTTGACACACTGATAGGCGACAAAAGCGAAAAGCTGAGATCTTCAATCATGTCCTGCAGTCCAACTGGTGTTGCAAGTGCATCCCTTTCCAGGCAGATGGCAGTCCAGTCCCATTCTTTATGCGAGTCTTCTCTCTCTTCTGGTATACCACAGCCCTTGCACGCTATCCATACAACAGGAGCTCTACACGTCAAGAACCCCTTACCCAATTTGCTCGGAGGGCAACAAACCGCATGCTATACATCACCCCAAGGTTTTCCTCAACTCTCAACTACATTAATGCAACAGTCCCCTGACCCTCAGACGCTGTTCCCTTCTGGGGAAGCTCAGAGTGAACTCAGAACTCAACCCAGCATCACGCAGGATTCTCCATTGCCTGCCCAGACTCCCCCCACCTGTAGTGTGAAGATGCTGACAGAGCACTCCACAGCCAGGACAATGCAGGACACACTCATGCAAGAGGGCGATCTCAGCAATGATATTGATGCTCTTAATCCATCCTTGACTGATTTTGATCTCCAAGGTAGGTATCCAAGTTATTTCTATTTGGTAGTTTCAGACTTAATACATCACATCTCAATATCCTTTTCTGAACTAATTGTCCTTGCCACTGCTATGGAGGCCAGCATACCAGCTTATATTATTTTGCACAACATGGATTTTGACATTATTTCTTCAAAAAGCTTCCCTAGAAAGATACAGAATATTACCTTATTCTACTAAAAATGCATAGCAGTGTTTCAAATATATTTTATTCAGATATTTTCCCACTGAAGATTATGTAGACAATTATTCTATACATATCAAAAAATATTGTGTAAGGAACAAAGAGAAATGCTTTTGTTTGAATTTAACTTATTTACTCCATTCCTCTGCTCAAGAGAATGCTACTTGCATCTTCACAAGTTCCAAAGGGATTCAGATCATCCATGCACTAAAGAGCAATATTTTATAAAGTGCTCCTAAATGCTTACTCATATAGTGATGCAATTTCCTTAAATTAATCAAAGAGACACGGTAATTTTGTGAAACAATTTTTTATTTGTATTTCTCCTATAAAAGAGGATTTCAAAAAGCTTATCGGAATAAAGTTTAATTGATCCTTTTTTTAAAAATTTATCTTTTACAGGAAATCTTTGGGAGGAGCTGAAAGATGACAGCCTAGCTATGGATCCTTTAGTCCTCATTTCATCATCCCCATCTTCTCAATGTTTCCCTTCTCATTGCCAAATGGATAACAGCAGCAATAACATTAGCATTCAAAATGGAACTCCACACAGCAACTTACCTGATGTGCAGCTCACTACTCTTTACTCTGCCTTTATGGAATTGGATACAGTGTCTCCTGCCTACTTAAGTAATTCTGGATCCAAACCTATAGCACTAATGTGAACAACACACTAACTTAATCGCAGCTATCTTGTCCAGACACAGCCTTAATCACACACATTTACCTGTTGTGATCTACACTAGCTACAATGCTAAAGTTGTGTGCAACTGAATAGGAACAAACTTTTTTTTCCAGAACTCATCTGCAGGATATGTAGCTTTACTGTAATAACTTTATACTAACAGTTATTTAAAAATTTGGAAACACTGCTTAAGGATAGCATTTGTTAATGGCCATATTGGTCAACACTGTTTTAATCAAGCCATCCATCTTCTGCATCTTCCTGATACAAATGGCTATAAGAAGAAAACAACTGATGGACAGATTTTTTTTATGAAAGCTGCTTGCAAATGAACATAGATGTCAAGGCAAACAAAAAAATCTAACTTATTTCCTGATGATGTCTACAACATCTGCTACAGACCACTACAAAATGTCCACATATCAAACATTTATACTCCCCTTGAAACAAGTTTTAGGTTTTGAGGAACAAGAACATACACTGAAAACTGTGCAAGTATTAGAAGATAGAGGACTAGCTCTTTGGCAGACTGAAACAAAGCAACAAATAAACTTTAGTTAAAAGTGTTACTGTGTTTAAAAAGAAATTTTAAACCTTTTTTAATAAAAAAAAGTATAATTCTTACTTGGTTGATAATTCTCAATTCCTATATTTATCCAGATGAGCTGAGCAGTAAATTATGCAATAGGGAACCTAGTCTACAAACAAACAAAAATTAAAATAAGCTTCCTTGGATGACATCTATATTCATATACTGTGAAAATTCAGAAGAATTTAAGCAGGTTAAAGATTGAGTTATGACGGACAGCTTACATTACAATATGGCAGGAAGGAGAAGTTAAAGTACAGACCCACTGGAATGGTAAGATTGTGTTAAAAGAATAAAAATATACAGTGCGGACTGTGAGTCCAGTCAGGACGGAAGCCAAACCTAAGCTCAAACCTATCCTCTCAACCACGCCTACTAGTCCAGATTTAAGACACCTTCAGGATCAGATTAGGGGAACACAAATAGAAGAATTAGCAAGAATTCATGTGACATAACTTTGTAATCCTTTATGCAGTATGTGCACACACAACTTTAGCAAAGGGGTCATTAAAGCATGAGACAGAACAGAACATGCAAAGCAAGAAATGCTATCAAGCTGTTCTAGGTTAAAAAAAACCAAAAGCACACACAAAACACTTTAGAAATTCTAATTATAATTTATATCAGAACATGTTTTCTAATGATTCTTTTCTGGACATTAGCCCAAGTTTACTGTTACAAAACTTCTAGATAAGCTGGGCTGTCTTCCCACATATTTTCTGTTCTTGCTGCAACACCATCATCTTCTCTGAGGGCTCATTTGTTTCTGTTCTTTCCAGGTATGACCACAAGCTTTCAAAAACCTGGCACAGGCCCCAATACCTAAGACACTAACCATAGGTATTGAGGAACAGACCAGGAACTAAACAGCATGTTGATGATTTTTAAGGCTTTTTAAAAAAGATTTCCTTTGTACACAAGGTTAGACATAAGCGCAACTGATTTGTGGGCACTTTAAAATTACATCCAAGTGGCTGAAATAGATATTTGGCTTCCAGGACCCCCAAGTCTCTGGGAAAATATCTGTATGTAGATGATCAAGTATAAAAAAATAGCAAAAACTTGCACATGAATCAGCTTCTGCTGACTTCTTAATGCATTTCTGGTCTAAGACATGAACACATTCACTAGCTGAAGAACTATAGTTTGCCTCGCTCCCTGCAGCCCTCACTACAATAATGTAATTGGAAGCTGAAGACTAGCAATTTCCATATAATTGAGAATAACCAACCTGCTCTTCACCAAACTAATGAATAATCAAGTTAGCTAATAGAATAAAATGTAAATCCAGTTCTTCCCAGCAGCGCAGAAAGCCAATACTTTTGTCCAGACAAAGAAACATGCTCAAACAATATTTCTTTGCATGTTAGTGAAAATTAACAACAGTAGGAATATTGTTAACGTAGACTGGATTTATGTACTGTTTCTCAGCCAAGTAGAACACCAATGGAGAGAAAAAAAAAAAAGGAAAAAAAAATAAGACACTATAAGACATCAACATAGCAACCGTTTAATAGATTAGAGCTTACAGATCTCAGTTAGCAGATACTGGTGCAAAAACCTTCCCCAGCAGTAGGTAGCTCAGTGCTATTCAGTAACATTCAATAACAAGCTTATTGCAATAACAACTTGGGGCCTTTTGTTATCTGCAGGTTAAGCCTGGATACCTGCGGGGAGTTTCCTTGAGCTAAGCACATCTCAAGGCTGGGCTCAGTACAGTGGAGGGCACAGGGATGGGAAGCGAGTAGAACCTGGCCAATCTCCCTGTCTTTTCTCAAGTAAACCTCTCTGAAGCAAGCCAGGAGGTGCAAATAACTTAGCTTTCAAGAACACACAAGTTCCCATTAAGTTTGTGGCAAAACAGTTTTGGTTGCAGAACATGAGCTAACATGTCTTGAGGTCAACACACAGATGAGCAGAGCCGCTACAGTGCCAGCTTACAAAACCGAGCATCTCAGCCATTTGAAAAGGGGCTGAAAGGCAAATTAAATGAATTTAAGACATCCTATTTGGGGCCTAATCAATATTTTTGACCTGCACACAAGAGAGCCAAAAACAAGCAAACAAACAAAAAAATGTTACTCCCAACAGAAATAATTAGGAATAGCCGAAAAACGAACACTGTAATTTGCAGCGGTACCCAAATGCCTTATTAACACTACAGTCGCGGGAAACGAAGCCGAGGCCACAGCGCGCGCCGCGGGCGGTGGTGGAAGAACGTCCCCGCACTGAGGCGACGCCGCCGCGAGGCCCCGCGATCGCCCGGCTCCACGCGAGCGGCAGCCGCCAGGG